TTTATTATTATTATTATTATTGAAAAAAGTAGTTAAGTAAAAATGGTAAATTTTTTGATGGCAATTTACATGTCCGAATTGTAAAGTGACTGAAAATTTTTGGCATGCAAATTATTGCTTTCACTAAGCATTTTCTTCCAAACTTTGATGAATTTATTGGATGTTCTGTGAATAGCTTAATAATTTTTATTAATTTGATTTTTCAGCATACTCATTATCATCCTCATTATTCTGCTCTAGTTTTTTAAGATCGCAAAATCGGTTTCAGTATAAATAGTAAGTAAAGACAGTGATAGAGCTCCGTATCAAGTCTTTCGAAGACATTAAATTTTAGTAAAGTTCCATTTTAATTATAATTTTTATAATTTTCAAAATTTTTTGGTAGTTTTTTTTTCTAAAATAATGTAATGAAGTGAGTTATTTGTAGATCTCTGACTGTATAAAATTATGACGAAACCATTGAACCGTGAAAATTGAAAAACGAGGTCAAGTATCACTTCTCCAGGCATGACTGAGTTATCAGCTTACTGATCTTTTGTTATAGATTTTCTGATTTTCTTATATCAAAGTTAGCTCAGAAAATTTTCAGCAAGTTTTAATAAGTATTTGGAAAGTTTACGCATTTTTATTTTCTATGTCTTATATTATTTACCAAAACAACGTATTTTTTGTAATATAACTTTTCCATTTTGGCTTTAGTTTTTCTTTAAAAGAATTAGTGATGAATTTAGAATGTTTGGACTCATTCTTGTTTTCATACAGTATTTTTTTCCTCTTCCAAATACTATCACTGTCCATTTAGAAGGTCAAGATTATCATTCTGTGTTCGTGTAATGGTTCACTTTTCGCTATGCTCAAGTCTAAAAACTCTGTGTCTCAACTTTCCATACAAAATTATTTTCAGGCTGGTTTTCATCAACTGAAACTCCTTTAGTGTCATGAAAACTTGAGACTTTTTGGAGTGCAATTTTTTTTTCATGCATTCTGTTCTTGCAATAAAGCTAATTTTATCAAAGTATATTTTGAGCATTTCAATTCATTTTTTCTTATAAAAATGAATGTGTCTGAAATTATTAAGTGTAAGGAGCAACTAGCAATCAAAGTCTGACTCTCTTCTACAGGGTAACACCAGAAGTAACGATAATATTAGTCTGAAGACAACTCAAATAACAAACACAGAAGTGTTTAAAATGTTGAGTCCCAGTCTAGGACAGATTCAAAAATGTCACAATTTTGCTGCAGATTTCCATGAACAGAAATTTTTAATGTGCATTTTAGTTTCTTTGAAAATTTTTGTTGCGAGAGAATCGAAAAAACAGTTTGAATTCTTGAATTAATTTTATTTTTATAACTACATTCTAAATTAAATTACTTTTCTATAAGTCAGTTCACAATTTTTACTTCATAATGCATTATGCTTGACATCATTAAACGGAATGTGAAAATGATTAGAATTAAGGAATCTGGTGTATACGACCTGAAAAGGTACTGTAATGAAAAAAATTCTGTCACTTTTAGGAAGTCATAACACTTTGTATAAACATAAGTTTAGAGTCTGTTTATAAGCTCAAATAACCATAGCGCAGTATTATTATTCCATTCCAACTGAATTGTTTGAATAAATGGGAACTTTTTATAATTTTAAATAATTAAACTAATTTTGTTCTAAAACCTCTGCCCAACTGTTCACCATGAAAGTGATAATATTGAAGTGCTAATATCTCCATAAGCAATTGAGTGTGTATTTTGGCTTCTATAAATTTTGGTCGTACCAACTGAAGTGCGTAAATTGTTGGTTGTTTGGTTTGTTTTTGACAATTTTGGATTATAAAAACGATAAATTGAAATTCAGATCTCATTTTTAGAAATACCTGAATCAGTATTTGAAAAAACAACATTTTTAGTAATATTTTTTTGAAGCAGTTTGAAATTTTCAAATGAAAAGTATGAAATTTTATTTGGTTATTCGGAATTCTACCTTGAATTAAAGCATAGATTAGAGTTGTCATTTTGTTACTTTTTTCCATACCGTTAAAATATCATTACTAAATTAATAAACTCAGTTCACTCAGCGCGTAATTTTAAACTGATATTCGTTGTTGTGTTGAAAGAATTACAAATCATTATTGTGATTACTATTTCTCAGTTTTTGAAGAATATTCAAATTAAGTTGATAAATACTAACTTGCTTTCATATGCTACGATGAAGAATGAATTAATATCTATGTTAAGTGTAATTTGGCAAGTCAATCAGTAAAATTAGCCTATGCTTTAAAATTTTTAAATCTATTTTCAAATTAAAAAAAATAGACAGAACTTAGTTTGCAGTAATTTGTAATCATTACTGAAAATGACAAATTATCACTACTTTATGAATTATGTCAATTAAAGTGCTTCACTTCATGTTCAAACTTGAGAGCTCACTTCTTGTGAAAAGCAATGTTTAAAAAAAAATAGATAGCCGATGAAGTAAGCTAGGGTTTAGTTAAATGATTTATCGCTTTCAGTTTTAATGCATTTAGCAAAAAAAAAACATTTTGAGATTTCTGAACTTTTTTCCGCCAAAAGTTCACTCATTTTCCAGGCCTTATTTACTAGGCTAAATCCTTGGCTTCAGGCCTTTTTGCCTTATGGTTTTCTTTTTCACAAATGCAAACTATATTCATTTTTAAAGTAAATCCTCCTCAGTTCTTTCATTCAATGCTTCAGCACTTTCTGATAAATCTTTGGAATTTCAGTAAAGTCAAACTTTCCCGCTATTTTCCATTTGTAGTAAAATAGTTGAATGAATAATCTTAACTTAAATTTATGCATAAATAAGGCAAGTTTTTTGTTTAGATCACAAAAAGGTATGAAACCTACCGAAAATTTTATTTTTTGTACTTCAGAAAAAATCAAATATGGAACTAGCTCTAATTTATTACATTTTCCATTATTTACCTTGCTAAAAAGCTGGAATCTATGTTATTTATTATCACTGTAGGTTTTTTGATTGGTTATCAACTTATGTACTTCACTGCAAAAGATATCATCAAGCATCAGTTTCGCTGCACTTTCAGAACAATTCAATTTCAGTATTTTGGAAGCAACTGAAATGAAAAAGACTGAAATATGAGAAAATGGTTGTTACTTGTTTTCGAGTACTTTTCCCTTTGAAGGAAGACTGTAGCAAACTCAAGTGTGCAAATTTCCAAAATTCATTGATAAACTACGCGTGCATCTTGAAAAGAATCAATCGCGTAGTTATTTTAGGATTAACTTTATTCTTAATTTCAGAACAGATAATTCAAGGATACAGGAATTTCCAGAGGATAGTTATTGCAGTATTTCAATTGGAGAGATAAAGAAAGCTTGTACAGACAGCATAAATCTACTGTCCTAAAAAGATAGCTGCTCTTTATTATTTTATTACTGTATAAGACGAACAACGAAATTACAGTACATGTCAGAAAGAACAGCATCACATTACTGAGAAAGTTTGATTTTGTTAAAATCTAAATATCAATTTTTTTAAAAATACATAGTTTCTTTTCAATTTAATTGTAGTCATTAATTGTAGGACTATCGTGAGACGCTAAATATTCATTAGAGTTTCAAACAAAGTTCGCTTTACTTGTAATAAATATTTGAATATTTTTTAATTAGTAACAGTTTTTTTTGAGAAGTACAAATTCAGAACTGCAAATCTGAAATTCAGACTTTCCTTTTTTACTTTTTTCAAGTTTAGAATGACGTTTGGCCCGATTTTTTGGCCTACTGTTTGGGTCATACTATCATTGACGCTTACGTCGTCAACCTGCAATCTTCTGATCAGAAGTCAGGTGCCCCATGCAACATTAAGCCAGACAGCAACCGACTTCAACAAAGCAGGACATGTGGATAATGTCGCTCTTCAATTGTCAAGTGATTTACGTGTCGAACAAGCCATGCACGAAATCAATCGGATCAAACGAGCTACCAAAAGTTCGTTCAAACATCTTTTATCTGCTATGAAAATTTCACTCCATTTCCTTCTTTAGATTGATTGTAACTTTCTTGAAATTTACTTGAATTTTTGAAATGATTTTTACTGTCTGCAAATTGCACTCAATTTAACTGTGCAGTTTTTCAATTTCATGAACATTTTTCATTTTCTAATGAATTAATATTTTTTGAATTTCAATAGTTGTCCTTTCAACTTCTAATCAAAATGATCCACAAGGTATTGATATTCCACGAGATATATCAAAATGATACTGATAGTCGTAGCAGAAAATAAACGTTTTAATTTTTACCTTTCATACTTTCGTAGTATTAAGCTAAAAAAATCTAATATAGTTTCAATTATATAATTTTATGATAAATTCAAACTACTTTTTATTGTTATTGATCAGAAAAAAATTGCCTGGCAGAATGGGAATTCTCGAATAGCTTGACAAAAGTACTTAGACTGAACTGATTATGATTCTAAAACATTGTAGTTTTAGCGAGGAAAACTGCAATTTTTAACTTAAGATTAAGGAAGAAGGATTTAGAATGTTTTATATGCAACAATAGATAATTTACGTTTTATACGTATCTCCATAAATTCTGGACTTACACAAAAATATAAAAAAATAAAAATTCGAGAATGCGTTTATTTTGTGTAAGATTGCCTGCTCAGTTTCATTTCTGATTACTTGCGATTAATTTTCCTTGCATTTTTACAGATTTTTTCTTCAGAGTTTCAAAGTGTATGCTTAAAAGCTGTGATAAGTCGCGCCTCAAAAAGATTCAGAATTTCCTCATATTTTTGCTCTTTTGAGTGGCGAAAATTAAATTGGAAAGTTATTTCCAGTTGATATAAAGTAACTCGTCAGAGAATTGTTTGAGATTTATGCGCAGAAGTAAGATAAGAACTTAAAAAGCGATTCAGTGTGAGTTAAATTTGCTTTATTCTTAAACGACTGAATGAATGATTAAGCAAACAACAAATAAAAAATAAAAGTTCTTCTAATTAAAATAATATTCTGTTTGAACTTTGACCATTTTTACAAAATAAAATCAATTATCACAAGAAATTTCAATGCGTTAAATAACTAGAAAACAGATACAGTATTGACTTGCATCTTTCTCCCATTTTTCCGGACTTTGACTTGGATTAGTTTCAAATTGAAGAACAAGACATTAAGTAGTGTGGAGAGTAAGGAACGCTGATAATTTAATTCCCACAAGTATTCAGTTGCGTTGCTTTTCTAATTACTGATTGATAATGGAATTTACTGTGAATGGGATGCATAGTTTTGTTTATAAGGTGTAATATGCAAAAAATGAACATTTAGAGTGGATTTGAATATAAAACAAAGATGCTGTGAAGTTTCATTCAATGAAAAGAGTGATCAAAATCAGTTTTGATCCTAGAAGAGATCAATAGTATTTGATCTGCTAGAAAACTTTATTTAATATCAATACAACATTTGCCATAGTAGCAGTTTTTAAGAAAACTGTTTGTATTGCCTGCTTGGCTTAATTTCTTAGCATTTTTGCATACATTTGAGACTGCGAATATTAATTTTCATCGCAGTAAGCGACAGAGTATTTCAGTTTATTACGGTCATTAGCAAGAATACATTGCAAGAAAGATTTCTTAGACTTTGCAAAAGTAGCATTTTATCAAAAAGTAACATAGAGAGTAATTTTGATAAATATTTACCATGAACCGTTCAAAAGAAACTTTTTTGAAACAAAATTTGGTAAATTCACTGAAGTACAGAAAAATTCGAAATTGTTGTGGAGAAACCAATAATAAAAGCTGATGTATTGAAAATTAATTCCATAAATGTAAGTATGAAACATATCGCAATGGTAAGCAAAGTTCGCAGTTACAATTGTCTTTTTCATATTTGCTAATAATAGCAGACCTTAGCAGTTTGCTATTAATAGCAAATTCACGTCTACCGTTATATTTGCGAATTCATCGCACCACACTTATGCATTTACAATAGACATTTATCAATCCTTATGTAATGTCTTCTGCAGGTGATAATTACTTATCGTCGAACAGTTTTAAACTTAGTCTGATAATACTTCAATCAAGGAATTTATTCTAATAATTGGCATGTTATTTCAAAAAAAAACTTCATTCGTGGAAGGAAACGACATTTGATTTAAATTTATTCCAAAAAATGCTAATACTTTCAGAAGCTTTGCTAAAAATTTTTTGGAATGAAAGTGTGATTTAAAATGGAAGATGAAATTGACTGTTTATCAACATTGTAGGCATTTTTCCGCAGTAAAATTTAAAGGAAAATTGACAGCTGAAATAAGAAATGGAAGTAATTTTACCTTCAGATTTTTCGGACCACCAACAATCGGGTATCGTTTTAGCAATGAACGGCACTGGGCGATGTGTGGTCAGTGCTAACAAAGCTAGCCACTACTGCGGAGAAGTTGAAGGTTCGTACCACTTATCATACTTATGCAAAACAACGCCTTTTTTCTAATTTAATCACCATTTTTTTACGTGTATTATTTTGTACTAACATTGAACATGTGCACTGTTGATTCTAAAACAGTAAATATTATAATGCCATCACCACTGACTGAAAAGTATTTAAGAAACATTTTGTTATAATTATTAGTCCCATGCATACATTCGTAAAATTATTGTTATAATAATAAGAAAATACGTATGAATAATGCTCCTTTAGCCAGTAGTTTTCTTGAATGTTCAGCTACAACGACAGATAGATCGGATTCTTTTTAACTTGAAACAAGATAAGCTATCTCGTTGATTGATTTAAAAATAATTAAATGAGGCCTCTTTGTTTAGAACTAATATCTGAAATGAAACTTTAAATGTAGCAATTACTTTGCTAAATTATTGACTACAATCGTAACTTTTTTCTGCAACTGAAGACCTATATAAATTCAACATTGAAAAATAATTCTTCATAATTATTACTAGAAATAAATAAAATTAGAGAAGTTTTGCAGATAATTCTTTATTTTGATTTGCCAAAAACAAAAAAAAGATCTATGAAACAAATTTGCCAAAATTATCTATTAGAATAATAATAGGTAGATGTAATTTATAATAGTATTGCGAGGAAACGTTAGAATAGAATTGCTTAGTGATTCTGCTCATCGACAAATATTAATTTTTTGATTAAATTGATTTTACGAATAATTTAAAAAATTGTCAAATTGGAATGTGACTTAACATTAAAACACCGACAGCAGAATTTTTGCAAGGAACCTTGAAGAAGAAAAATATACTTCTGACACTTTTGCGACTAAATTGTATTTATTTAAAATCAGTAATCTTTGTGAAATGAATTTTCTATACAAAATAATTTTATGCTTACCTGTAATCTTCTAAGTTCTTTGGCAACATTTGAGAGGTATGGAAAAGAGGCGTTGTGTTGTGTTGTATGATTGTGGTGTGTGCTTAATGTAATTTACTTATTCACAATTTGTAGTCCAAATTTCTTGAATTTCAATTCTTTTAAAACTTTTTTGCATAATGCTTGGAAACTATTTACAGTGCAGTGCTGTCGTGCTTTTAATTAGAATGAGTATGCATACAAAACGCATTAAACTTTTTGTCCGAAAGCTCAACATTTGCATGATTCTGTGAATTGCAGTTATTTTTATCGAATGGTTATGGGGCGTAAACTTAACAAAATTCTTTATAAATATCTTTTGATTAGTGAGTTTTGAATGTTTTCTCGATTCAAACAGCTTTTTTCAGTCTCAAAATGCATATTTTAGAAAACAATTAGCATCAATTACAATATTTGTGGCTTATAAAACTGGCAAGAAACGTAATAATATCAAATTTAGTTGCTGTGAATGAATACTTAATAATCTGCTTTTCAGTTTTTAACCTAAACTTAGCAAAAATATTTGCAACGAATAAAGTTTTGGATTTATTAAAAATAACTGATTTTAATCTAGTAATCTGCTGGTGGCAAAATCTTCATTGGTTTTAAATAAAAACATAATATTTATGACTGAGATTACAATATTATTTTGTTTGTCAAACTTTGCAGCTGTAATCATTTTTATAAAATTTGAAGACAGTGTAAGCTTGATTAGTGATTTTTTAAACGAATTCACCAAATGTGAAAATGCGAAATCAAATTTCAAATGATTTACTCTCATTTTATTAATAATTTATTTCAAATTTATCCTTCTGTAGCTAATCATAGGTGCCACTAGCGTTCAGTAATTATAAGTAAATTAAATTATAATCTAATTAGTTAGCTTGTTTTTTTGCACGTCTGATTTCCCTAAAGCAGTTCCCGAGTATTCGTTTCTCTCAGAAACAGTTGTTTTGATTTTCCATCACGCAGATTACGTATGCAGACTTGTATTCAACCTTTACCTATAAAACTTAACCTTTGTGCCATTTCATTTATGTTCATCAATTTTATTTTGAGATGAGCTGAATTCGTGTCTGTTTTGCTTAGCACAACACTTATTTCTTGCTGTGTTGATATCATGCTCACTTACTGAAGAATTTCATACTTTTGTTGAGTAGATTTGGATTGCATATGGCTTGAAATGGAATTTGCAGTAAATTTTGTCTTCTATTAAAAAAGATTGAAATCTGTGAGCGATTAAAATGTATTCAAAAATATGCATCAAGTTTCTATTAGGATTTTTATTAAAAATAAGCATATTTAAAATGAACAAGGAGTTTCCAAGGATTCTCTGTAACTTTTGAAAAACTGTGTTTATACTATGAAAGCTTTACAAATCTGTACGAGAAGTTTTGGCACATATACAAAAGCTTGGACATTTCTATTTGCTCCTTGTCATAGCTTGTTATCGTCATATCTGTCTAATAATACCATTATTATTACCCTTAATTTGCAGTGACAGCACCACCATTTCCACCTTCTCAGGCTGGTCAATGTCATTTTTCAAGTAAAAGTGGCCGTCAAATTTGCTGGCCACGATATGAGGTATTGGATACCAGCTGTACCGATATTGGAAATGGTATGGTATCCGCACCTGCTATTAAACATGCTGCGTAAGTTATTTCTAATATTAACTTTTTCAAAATGAAATTTCATTTTTGTCTTTGCAATATTTGCATACTTGAATTTACTTATTTTGCAGTGCATGTGATTCAGTGATGCACTAATTATCACCAGAAAATAATTTCAATTTAAATTCAGTATTCGATCAATGGCATTTGTACCTCCGGATAACCTTCGACGTATTATTCGACTGTACTATCGTAAACAAGGCATGCCACTCCCACGCAACATAACGTACAGCAAAAATTCGTTTCTATTCGTACGGTACGAGTGTGACCATGGCTATGAATTTGTAGATGAAGTTAATTCCATGTTTTGTGCCAATCGACAGTGGATAACAACTTCACCAAAATGTAGAGGAAAAGGTGTGTAGCCTTCAGATTAACTATTCGTAAACTCCATGTTGATACAAATTATAGCGCTATTAGAAATAATGATATAATTTGTCGATAATTTGATAAACAGCAGGAAAAAATGTTAAAATTATTTTTTCTTCTCAAAAAGTCCTTTATAAACTAGAATTTATTGTTTTTTTCCATAAAAATTTGCTTCTTGGATAAAATGAAGTAAACTTTGATTAAGTTATTTTCATTTCGTTAATGCAGATCATTTCAAGATGCTAACTGTTTTGTAAGTTTAAGGCTGAGACACAAATTCCGTTCATTATTTGAAATGGCTACTCTAATATTGTATTCCAAATCACGATCATTTTTATGCACTTTGTTAACTCAGTCATGCAACTGATCCAAGTATACAATCTAAATTAATAATTACATATATTTGAAGGATTATGTGAAATAAATAATGGTGGATGTAGTCACTCTTGCTTATCGATTCAAGATCAAGAAGTAGAATGTCACTGTCCGAATGGATTTGTTCTAGATAGCAACAAAAAAACTTGCATTAGTAATTTTTGCTTGAACTAACAAAGAAATCATTCAGCTTTAATTAAATAATTGCTATATTTTAGCAAAATTTGAGCACTTAATAATTTTTAGAGAGGATAATATTGTTTCCTCTGAAAGTTTTATTGCTCAGAATTATCAATAAAAAAGTTGATTACTCTGAGAAAGTATGCACCACCAAGCTGGAGCTTACTTAATTGCTCTAAAAAATATAAGTCTATCACTCAATGACTCACTGATTTCCTTCTGTGTCACAGAACCGATTCCCAAGAATTTGTGTCGAATTTTGAGCAGCTGTTCCTGTTCTACTATTGATGAAAATCAGTACTCTTGTACATGTCCGAAGGGAGAAAAATGCTTATGTAAGTAAGACTGTTTATCTATAAAGTAATAAAATGAATTTTAAATTTAATTTATCAACAGGAATATTTTGAAATGGAAAAATTATCTTTAATTTTTACTTATCTTTTTGGCATTTTGGTTGAAATGTGTTAAATCTATAGAAAATTTTGAACAAACAGATTAAGCTCAGATTCAATAAATTTAGCTCACAAATCACATTGTATGAAAGATAAGAAATGTGCCAAAAACTATTTTATAAAAGATGGCAAAAAATTGTATTACACTGTTTTGCTTTTCAAGTACTTCGTGGTCGACCAAAAATTTATATAGAACCATCAGCACCGTATGAAATTGCCCCCGGTGGAAATTTGAATATTACATGCTCAGCGGTTTCATATCCATTTCCACAAATATTTTGGCAAAGGTATACTATTCGAGCTTTGAAGATTAAATTTTAAATTAGCATAAAGTCAATTTTTCGCATTATTGTAAAGCTGCACACGCAAATCGTAAAATTAATTTGAAAGATGTTTTACACTTACAACTAAAATATTCAAATTAACGCTGTAGACCAGTATAATTGTTTGAAGTTATCCAAGAATGTTGGTATTAAAATGGTTTCCAAGTTTTGCTTGAAGATTTCTGATAATTTTATCAAAATAATATGCCTAACTTTAAGGGGTGATGAGGCAGTTGACATTGCACCAGTAAAACCAGGCACTGTTCGAAGTGAACAAATTTTAATTATCAAAGAGTTATACAAAAATACTCAATTCACGTGTCATGCCAATAATTCCTTAGGAAAAGCAGAACGTACAATAGAGATTGTAGTCACCGGTAATTACTTAAGTAACTAAATTTATTTAGTCTGAATAATAAGCATTTAAGCATACAGTAATCACTTACTTGACAAACAAATTTGCTTGTTTAATAGCCACTGATTGAAGTAAATAATTATTTTCTACTGCTTTTATTGACTGATGTCACAAAGTTACTCGAGCTTTTTTGCGTCTTCCTTTTATGATTAAAACATGGACAAATCTTTGTTTATGTTACAGGTCCTGGGTCAGCGCCGATAATTCGTGGTATTGGTGCTGGTCGTACTTCTGTTTACGTTAGATGGGATCCACCAGTAATATTGAATCGACCAGTTACTTCATATACTGTCTACTATACTATAAGTGGTCACAAGCCAATCAAAAATTGGAGAAAATTGAATGTTGAGGGTAAATTTACCGTACTTCAAATAAAAGTGTCGTTTTTATATGATCAATTTCAAATAGTGTTAAAATTATGAAAGTATCAAATTATATATTTGTTTATGAAATTTACTATTAAGAAGTTTTTATGCTAATAAGTTTCAATGCGATGCATCACACTCAATGCAATAATAACTTTTGACTGTTAAATACAAAAACAATAATTATTGTGATTGTACATCTAGAACCTAATCGTGAGATAATGATCAAAGACCTTCGACCGCATACACAATACTTCATTCGTTTACGAGCAAACGATAAACTTGGCCCAGGGCGTTTGTCTAGCCCAGTTTCGCTTAAAACACGTCAACCAGGTAATATCTGCAAAAAGCAAGCAACTTGTAATGTAAGTATAAATATTAAGTTGATACAAATTCACTTCTCGAATATTATGGGTACATTTTTGCTTATATGAATAATTGACTAAAATTTTGAGAGCATGAATAATAAATAATATAACAGCGGAATCTGCTTGAGAATGTTTCCGCTTCATTATATTATAAACTAGGAAGTAATAAATGAAATTTTAACGTTGATTTATTAAACAATGATGGCTTGGCATTGCATCTTTAGCTATTCGTGAGATGAATATCAGATCATTCAATGTAATTGTAAAAAATGGCAAATATCGTGCGCTTATTCATGTTAATTTTTTGTAATCTCTGTGAACATGAAGGAAAGAAAATATAAACTATATTTGGCATAATAAGTTTCAGCAGCACGTCCTCAGCTTCATATTCCTGAAGGTAATGTGGTGCAGGTACCTCCTTTAGTGCCATTCAAAATTAATTGCAATGTGACACGTGGAGATCCATTACCAAAAATCGCTTGGTACACAAGGTTAACTTTTGCATCAATAATGATTACATCTGAAAAAAGTGTGTAAAATATTAAAAAATTAATAGTCTATGCTAGATAAAATTAGATTTAATCAGAAAGGATTAAATAGAAATACTAATAAAACTCCTACAGTATAATGATGGTATTTCTGTTTGAAATTTCCTATTTTTGAATTTAATTTCAATCATATTTTGAATATTTATTTAAACTTTCAAATGGTATTAGTATGGTGAAAGCTTTCATAAAAACAAAATTTATGTTTTTTCAGAGCTCGACCAATTAATAAGCCACAGAAAAAAAAATTTATAACAATGGAACATGGTGGATTGTATGAAAGCACCAACTTCTCGTGTGTAGCAGATAATGAAGCTGGTCGAACGAGCAAACGTGTACAAGTTATTGTAACTGGTAGACAATTTTAATTTTTAGTATATCTTAAAGAACTTCACGTTTGGCAGCAATTTAATAGTAAATAGCCGACTTACCCCACTGAAATGTACAAAGCTGCATAGTGACAATTTTAAAGACTTGTCTTGAAGTTTTTTATTAATGTTTACTCAACAGGACCAACCTCACCTGAACGTATCCGATATCAAATTGATGGCAATAATGTTGACTTGCAATGGGAGCCTCCCAGGATTACAAATGGACATTTGAAAGATTATGAAGTTGGCATTTTTATATATTTTAAGAAGAATACAAAGTATTATTTAAAATCAGTATGAAATGTTCATGATGTATTTAGAATAGAACAATTCATTTATTATATTGTGTGACTTTTGAAAATTGCAGGTTATGTACACAGATGATTTAAACTTACCAGAAGAGCAATGGCAAGTTGCTAGAGCAGGTAGTGCTGATGCACGCATGTTACGTGTGCCAAATTTGAAAGAAAAAACAGATTATACATTCAAATTGAGAGCATATAATGAACTAGGTCCAGGTCTTTCAAGTGGCCAGTTTACGTTAACGACTTGGCTGGCAGGTTAATCTTTACTTTATTGCTTTTCTTACATTTTTAAAGAAGTTTTCCAAGTGGTGAAAAAATCAGCTATAGTTTTGGAAGAAAATTCTGCAATTGCAGCTCGTTCACCAGCAGTAACAATAGTTCCTGCTGTAAGGATTATAAGGCACCCAAGCAACGAAGAACTCATATTTGAATGCGAAGCGGTTGGCGTGCCAAGGCCCAAAATTCTGTGGCTCTGGAGCGGTGGCTTGATTGAAGATGGCAAAGTTAGCATCCTGACATATATTTTTCGTCTTTTGTGTAAAATGTGAACGAAACTTGTATTGAAGTGAATAATGTTGTAGGATATTCAGGAAACAAAACTGAAATTGAAAAATTAAATTACAGTCATCAAATTATGAGAAATAATTTCTTTTCAGTAGTATTATTTTGTTTAAACATATTCGGTTTTACTTATTTTTTTAGTTAAGCAGAAAATAATAGGTTCAGTAAGGAACATAAGTTGTAGCTGGACTAATTGCTTGAACTGCAACAAATAATATTTTTATAGATTAATTTTCTATATTCTTTCAAAAAATATAGAAACAATATAGAAAATTAATCTACAAAAATTCATGACATCTGAATTTTGCAGAACGAATTTCGCATATACGATGTAACACCATCAGATGCGCAAGATCGATCGAGCAGCAAACTGATAGCTGAAAGAACTAATCGAGCAGGAGTAGCAACTTGTCAAGCTGTTAATCCACATGGTTTTTTTTGCATCTTTCAAAAACAGATTTATGCACATTTTCTTTGCAAAACAAGAATATACAAAAATATAGTGAAAAACTGCTGAAAATCATTCTATATTTTTTAAAAAATATTCAAATTTTATTGAAATGCTGCCAAAGAATGAAAAATTTTTTCAAATTATGAATTAGTGCACTGATGTTACATAAATGATCCTCCACAGGTTCTGATGAAAAACGAACAGAAGTGAAAATTGTTGGACCAGGAAGTCCACCCCGTAATATTTCCTCCAGTCCAAGTTTCGATGGATTTAGAGTGACTTGGAATCCACCAAAATATCCAAACGGAAAAATAACTGTAAGAATGGCATAAAGTTTGCATTTTTGCAAAAATATTTTGTAGCATTTGAAAGTCATTAAGAATCGGTATAATAATGTTATGTTTTTTAAATAACTAAGCTAATATTTGTGAACTAGAATGTTGTTCAAAAAGATCACTTACATGAAACACATTTTCTCAAGTTAAAAAGACTGAAATAATGTTAAGAGAACTAAAAATTACAGAAATACATAATTTATTACACGAAAAATCCTGATGCCGCATTGGAAGATTGGGAGCAGATAAGTGTTGACGGTCAAGTACACGAGGCCACAGTTCTTGCAGATGAGGATACTCCTTATAACGTAAGAATACGAGCGTTCACTAAAGATGGTCCAGGCATTGTCTCTGAAGCATATGATGTCACTACTGGGAAAAAACGTTAATTATTTACTTTCTTTCTTAATTTGAAAAATACAAATCATCTGTGAATCATATCAAATCGTTGAAAGTAAAGTAAAATCAGCGCTCGAATAAGCTGAAAAGTATGTTGTAAGAAAACTTTTTCGATAATTTTAGAATAAATTAGAATTACTTGATCATTACTGCGTTGCATATTTATCAAAGGATTTATTCTACTTTTATAATTCATTATATTTATTGTCAAATGTTCATATTACAGCAGTTCCACTGACCATCAAGTTAATCATAATGGATCCTCCAGTACAAGAAGGTAGCTTTGAAACAACAATTGAGCCACTCCAGATGATTAGCTTTACTTGTCAAGCGGAAGGAAGGCCAGCACCACAGATTTCATACACTTGGCTTCCATTCAATGAAACCGAAAGTGGACAGGTTTGTCTGTGTACATTTTGCTATGCTTTTGAATCCGTCAGTATTAAATTTTGTTAAAAATCAAGATAATATTTTAAAAATAGGAGAAATACTTCAGAAGATTTTATCGGTTAAAATTGACGTTAATTACGTGATTGAGATAAGTGTTCACTTTCGCTACTTATTTCCTTCTTTACAATTTAATTCATAAATACAATGAGAATTAGTTTTTGTAAGTTTCAGATAGTTTTAATTATTTTAATTACTTTATTTATTATTTAATTTTAATTACTTTTAATTATTTTATTTAGTTTTAATTACTCAAAAGTAAAATATATAAACCAGTTACAATATTTTCTTCCCTTTTTATGCGTCAAATTCAATTTTATGTATTCTGGAAAAATTAGAGGGGAAGTTTCTTGCAGGAACCGGTTCCAATCCCTGCTTATTCTGATCCAACTCAAGTTCACAAGTACCATTCTTTAGCTGTGGAAACAAACACAGCAACTAAACGAGCATTAATGTGCAATGCACGTAATCCCGATGGCACTGTCAGCGATCAACATATTTTCAATGTTATAAGTAACCTCTTAATTTTGTTTCTATTTTATTTCAACTTATATTCAGTATCTTATTTATTAAATCAAAAGGTGCTGAAAAAATAGTTTGTAATTTATGACATCAAATGTTTGCTACATAGCATGACAACAAAAGTTGACAATGCAAATATTTTAGAACCAGGTAGTCCACCAGAAAATATACATCCAATAATTGATCCGGATAATCGTGTTACAATATCCTGGCAGGAGCCAAAGTATCCAAATGGACCTATTTTGGTTTGTAGTTTTTGTTTGAAAGAAAAATTTACAATTATTCAAAAAGTTTTTAGATCTGCTCAATACTTCCTTACCATATTGAATATTTGTTCTTTAACAGCAATTCTTGTCTGAAAGTATAAAATTGAATTTTTCATATTTTTTGCAACGCCAACAATCTTTTAAATAAATTTTCATAAAAAAATAAGTCGTAAATAAAATAGCTTTCGTGGCGAAAGTAAGTTAAAAAGTACTTAAAATTTTCTATCCCTAAAATATTTTTACTTTAGAAATACAAAGCATACTTGACATCTGATCCTGCAAAGCCAATAGATTCGTGGGATATTTATTATATTCCAATTGAAGAAACGCAAGGACTTGTACTGGAAAGGGGTAAATTGCAACCAGAAACACCTTACTACATTAAAGTAGCTGCAGTTGGTGAAGGTGGAGAGGGTGTACAGTCTGATAGCATTTTATTCGAAACCGTCAGCGGAGGTGAACAATTCTTATGAATAAGTGCTAATAATAATAATCACTTTTTAGTAATTATTGCTAACATTTTTTCAATAATTGAATTAAGAACTTAATATAAGATTTATTTCTTGAAAAATTTGAAATTTACGAAATGAGCGATAAGGTGAACATATTTCAAAGAAAATTTCGATGGTGAAATCTGATATTTAATTATTAAATTATATTCTGAAAATATCAGTTGATTTATAAAAACTTCTTTAGATTAATATTAATATACTATGTACAGATTTAGATCTTAATCTTGCATTAGGGCCATTGCTGTTTTTGAGTAACAAAAATTTTAGCACCAGTCGATGCACCAAAAGATTTATTAGCAACTGTTCAACGTGATAACACTATAGATATATCCTGGGCAGGTCCCAGCATTGCGAACGGTCCCATTCAGGTGAGCACTTTGGACTAGGTGGCTTTGCGCTATTTGAAAACCTAGTATAAATTAGCAACGTATCAGAAAAAATAAAAAGATAGCATCCGTACCAAAAAAAATGATATTTCTTTTGAATTGCAGTCGTACACTATTTACTTCACTCCAGTGGATCAACTCGCATCAGATGATTTATATAAACAGTGGGATAAAGTCATTGTTCCAAGTAACAAGAGTACCGAAAACTTCCAACTAAATAAAGATACTTACAATATTATGCCCAATCGAGAATACCGAATCCGTATATCTTCAACTAATGATCTTTCAGAAGGCCCAGCAAGTGAAAGTATAACAGTTAAGACTGAAAGTGGAGGTAGGAAAATTACAATGACTTTAAATTTAGTTACATTGAATAGAAATATTAGGATATGTCTGCATTAACTTTTGTTATTTAACTTTTTAATTTCCGATTGGTGGAAATCATAGCTTTCTATACTCCAAAATTTTAAAATGTCTAATTATCAATAGTTGAAAGATTGAATGTTTGATTTTAGAAACCTTACCAGTAATACATCTTGAGCCATCACACAATCCAGCCATTGTCCCACCACATGGTACAATAACTGTACAATGTACCGCAACTGGAATACCACCACCCAGCGTGATTTGGATTATTGGCATAAATGCTAGTGATGTTATCCGAGGATCAGTTTTACAATTAACGGATGTCTACAGAGATGAAATGGCAACATGCAAGGCGGAAAATTCCGCCGGACAAGTTCAGGAAGTACTACAAATACTCGTATCCGGTTAGTTTATTCTGGATTGAAATTTATAAATCGAAACGATGTAATAAAACTTATAAAAATAGAAGCAATCTTAAGATTTTAATTATTTTCAAAAATCAACAAAACTTTGATAAATTTTAAGGTCCTGGTACACCACCAAACGAAATCGTTGCTCTTCCTCTTGAAAATCAGCAAGCCAATATTGAATGGACAACGCCTGATAGTCCTAATGGCAAAATCACTGATTATGTTGTTCATTATGGAGAAGTGATGAATGGTTAGTAACTAATTTCATTGTTTGATCATGATATTATTTTGTAGTAACAATTCAATTCGCTAATTAATTTAATTTACATAATTTGACCAATATTCTACTTTTATGGTTAGAAAATACTAAAGCTCGTTCGATTTTTAGAAAATACTAAAGCTTCTCATCAATTGTTTTGCAGTCTCAAGGCTGAAAATATGTGATTTTAACAGTAGTTCTGCATAAAAAGATAAAGATAGAGCAATCAAAATCTTCCCATATTAAGATAAAATATAACACAGCATCAATGACTGCTTATTTTAATAGGAGAAGCTGTTCCGCGTGAATGGCAGACCATAAGAATTCCAGCTGCAGAATCGCAAAAGTATCGTCTTACGGGACTGAAACCAAAAGCTAATTATGCTGTACGATTGCAAGCAATCAGTGATCGTGGACCAGGTGTTTTGTCGGATCCAGTTCATATAACTGCACTGCCATTAGGTTAATTTAAAAAATGTTTGCTCAAAGCTCTTTTTACTACAGTTTTTGAAGTTTCTATTTTCTTGCAAAAGCAGTTAAAAATTTTACTTTATATAAATTTAGCACCAGCTATTGTGCAACCAAACGATGTGGTAGTTCATGACAATAATACTGTCGCAATTCAGTTTGATGCTCCAAGAGATCCTGAAGATCCAGAAAAGCCAATCAAAGTTTGAATTAAAAATTTTTTAAACGATATTAGATTAAAAATGAGATTGTCTTCTTGTCATCAAAAATATTAGATCGTAACTGAGATTTCACTTTTTCTTCATCACTTAAATCTATATTATATTTTTCATTTAGTCATCACTTAATATTTCAACTTGCTATTGCACGAAAAAAGATCAAATGCACAGATATCTTATAGTTGAACTTTTAGGAATTTGTTGTCCATTATACTGATGATGATCCTACTAGTGAAAATGCTCACTGGACAGAAATGTTCTGGACTGAGCCAGATGATGATTTTACCGTTAGTATTCCTATTGGTGGTGAACATTTTAAACCAGATACGAAGTACTCCATTAAGGTGAGATTGACTCCCATCAATCGGAAAATATGTACTTTTAAGAGAAGATAAACAGTTAATTTTGAATTTGTTAATAATTGATGCATTATAGGTGATAGCTCGAGGTGAAATAGATGGTCCACCATCAGAACCCATCATTTTCCAGACTGGAGATGGAAGTTTGTATATCAGTTACTTGAACTCGGAAATTAAAAAAAAAAAAGATAAACAATCTAGTTTGATTAAAAATTGTCCAAAAGTTGATATTAAATGGTGAAAGTTTTCAAAAAAGGAAAAATCCTAATATTTAAAATAAAATTTTGCTCTCGTAAAAATAACAAACTTGTTTTCGCATCATATTTTTATATTTGTTGATTTTAACAGCAACAAATACAAAAGCGTGCTACTCGTGTTAAAATATATTTCATTATATTTTAGTTATACCACCGGAGAAACCAAAAATCAATGCAGATGCACCAGACTCTATGATTCGTGTACCAGCTGGTAGCGATTACACAGTTAGCTGTTCCTCAAGTGGATATCCAACTCCAACAATCACTTGGATTGATAAAAATGACCAGGTGAAAAGATATCCTTCATTCAAGAAGTTCAAAAACGTGGCATAGTCCACAAACTTTTGATGCTTGTATAGCTTCAAAATCATTTAAAAAACTAATTGTTATGACAAATGAATAAAAGTTTATTGTTTGAAACTACTACAATTACTTCAAACTTTTATAAAATATAAAAATAAATTATTGTTGTTTCAACAAAAAACACAAAAGTTGTAGTTTTAAAAAAGCAGCTAAGTTGTTGAATTGAAAATTTTAAACTTGTATTTCATGCTGCGATAGGTTCAAAATTATGATCCCTTTATCACAGTTATTACTTCAGCTTCTTAGCGATGGACCAATGCTAAGACTACAAGATGTAAAAGAGACCGTTAATGCGAAATGTGTTGCCGAAAATGAAGGTGGACGAGCTGAAACGCCGTTTGAAATCTTTGTTACAGGTCCCTTTTGCTTCCACCAGTATAATTATGTAGAAATTTTGAACCATATCTGTTGTAGAATTACATATCTTCTGAGAAATAATTTTTGAGCTTTGAATTTAAAGCCGCGACTGACATCAAGAAATAGGTTCTGCAAGTTTTGAAGAAAAATTACTTCACTGATAAATTGTTTGTAAGTCAAAAATTGAAATATTTTTAAGCCTTATTTTTTACATCAAATAGTTCTCAGGTCCGGGTAGTGCACCAAATAACATTCGCTTAAATTCTTTGAGACCTCGCACAATTCACGTTGATTGGGATCCTCCAAAAATACCTAATGGAAATATTATTCGTTATATCATTTACTACACTCCACTGGACGACCAGGTTGGTCAAATTTTCCTTATAAGTTTCATTAACTGATGTCAAGGATGAAATTTACTTGCAAAAAAAGAATTCGACGATCTATTGGTTTGCGCAGATGTAAAGCTAGTTATAGAATATTGTATATCAGGTGGGACAAATTCCGAAACAGCCAATAACAGAATGGATGACTTATCATCAAGAAGGTGACCAGTTAACAACAACTCACCAAGAAAGTGACCTGACTGATTTTGTGGAACCAGACACAGCTTATGCTGTGGTACTACAAGCCGTAAATCAAGATGGAGCAGGACCATATTCCGAACAGCATACTATCCGAACTATGTCACGAGGTTTGCTTTATTTAATTTTGGGAATATTTCGAAATAAAATTACAGTAAAAGTAATAAAATCCAAACAGTTCATTGCAGTCACTTTATTTAATGTTATAGCTCGCGAAAGCCCACCACTTAATTTGCGGGTTGAACCAAAGGATCAGAGATCAGCAAATGTTGATTGGCAGAAACCGATGACTAGCGAGCAATCGCCCATTGGTTATGAGTTATATTATATCAAAGCAGACACTAAAATTTGGGAAGATGACTTGGCCAGCATTAATGACTGGTATGTTTGGACTTTTCATTTGTTATCAACAAAATCATGAAAAAAGTCGTGATCAAATTAGGAATTTTCTTATTCACTAGGAAAGTAAATCTTGCTGACACTATAAAGAAAAAGAAATCTGCGTTGTTTGTTTCATAACTGTAGTATTTTCAGGAGCATGATAGCAATAACAGGAACAAATGATGATACACTTCACTACAAGATTGACGGATCACTGGAACCAGACACCGAGTATGTCTTCCGCATGCGTGCTATTTATTCAGATGGGGCGAGCATATTTTCAGAAGCTTGCATTACCAAAACTCTTCCAGATGGTTCGAATTAATGTACTATGATGATTTCTTTAAATAAGTTCACTTCTTCAGCGAAAAAAAAATTGAATACAAAAACACAAATACTTCTTTAATTTAGTTGAGAGTTCAAGTAATTTTAGTTTGTGCTGTACAATAATTAATTTGTGCTGTACAATAATAAATTTGCTAACCATTAAGTCAAAATATAGGCAACGCTCCATATATAATGATTTCAAATGGCGACCACGGAGTGGAAGGCAAGACAGAAATTACCATTCTTCCGGGATCAGCTCTTGACTTATCGTGTAATGCAACGGGGCAACCACGTCCAAGTGTTAAATGGATTCGTGGTGGGCGTTATCCTATTGATCCTGCATGGGTGAGTTATTCAAACATCCATAAAATTAAAGAAATTGTAATATATTTATCTGTAGAAATCAGTAGTCAGCAGCATCATGCAAGATATTTTTCAAAGTTTTTGAACTCTTTTGTAATAGAGCTGAATTTAGGCATAATTTTTCTGTCCCTGTCAAACTGTTGTTGACCTAGCAGATACGCTTGATAAAGTTGGTAATCAAGAGAGAATACAAAAAGCATATGTATATTATCACACTCAAGCATTTGCATGTAAAACTCATTTTTGTTGACCGCAACATGTATATCTTTTTTCTCAGCTTTTTCAGTGGGGAAAAAATTTTTACTTATATCATGACAGTACTTGCTTGTTCTTTTTGAGCCATTAAATTTTTTTGTTTAAAAACTGTGTATTCAGATAAAATCAGATGAAAATTATGCGGTATGGTTTTTGAAAGTATCTAACATAACAGAAGATGCATCGTTTAATTGTGTTGCACAAAGTTCCCTTGGTTTTGCCAACTGGACCATTAGCGTTCGCCTTATTCCAGGTATTGAATCTTAGTTATAATTCTTGTTATTTTCAACGTTAATTTTGTAGTATAAAAGTTGGTGACATTTTTCTACTGTAAATTCTTAATTTTTTAAGAATTCATACAGTTTTATTACACTAAAATTTAATTTTTCTTCAGAAGAACCAAATTAATCATGAAAAAAAAAGAAATCCATTGTTATTACTAAAGACTGAACCGAAAAAGTTATTGCTAAATTTGTACTGCTCTCAAGTGTTGATAAGCAAAAAGTATCCAATAAAATACAGTGATGAACGAGGCTTAGAAAGTATAATGTATAATTATTGGAAAGTACAAATCGAACAAGTTGATAGAGATAAATTAAGACGAAATAAGTCCACGACCAGATTTGACCTCTCTTTTTTGAAATGCTTTTTGATCTACATGTGGCAACTCTTTTTGACATGGAAAGCTTTTAAAGTTTATATAAACAATTGAAGTTTAAGATGCGAGAACAAAAAGAAAAAAGCAGTTCAGATAATCGAATTGCTTATGAAAAATTGAACTGCTTAATAAAGATGCAAGCATTTAAGAGATAATTCATGTGATATTTATCTGGAGAAAGCTTACACATTAAGGGGATAGATTTATGAGTTATAAATGGAGACTTCTAAGCTTTGCATTCAACAAAGAGCTTGCAGACGTGGCTTGCAATCCATTTTTTTTTTTGCTTGGAATAATGGACAACAACGGAAGCGGAAGAATCTTAAATAAATTTATTACAGATCTTGCACCGACCTGGAAACATGATTTTGTAAGTGCTAAAAACGAAAACAATGAAGTTGTGCTTCACTTCACAGATATTTTACCCGATTATCTGAACGGACTGGTATTGTTTATTCCATTATGCTTTAATCTTTTCTTTAAATCCAGTAGCTAAATAAATGGAGGAAAGACCATTGAGGAGAAACTATTTTTTTGCTATCAATTGATTCTAGATAAAACTTCTGCAGCCAGTAACTTTTTTTGGATCATAGAAGTAATTCTCTTTTTGATTCATTAATTTCTCATATCTTTAGGTAAAGAACGTAACATGTTTGAGAAGTGATTTTTAATGACTTTTGCATATTTTTTGTAGAATCTGTGGAATATTTACTGGACTGATAACCCATCTAAGCCTTTCGAAGCATGGAATGTTATTCGAAGTCATAATAATCCTCTTGAGCGTATAGCTATTACTGATATGGAACTAGGTACTAAATATTATTTGGTGATCGAGCAACCTTCTGCTGGAATCAAAACACCAGTCTTCGATATAATGGCTCCGAGTAAGAGTTTACAATTTGCCGAAAGTTTATTAGAGCTGAGATCGAAGACCATCTGTTTTCTCCCCACTCAATTCAATTTCATCTGAATGAATGCAAGTTCTAAATAATGCAAAAGTCGCTGAAATTTTTTATTTTACTTTGCCCTTTACAATTTTTATGGAGGTATAGTGAATTATAACTATGACCACACTAAGGTTGATCAAATTTTTATAATTTTTTATTGTCATTTTTAGAGCCAGCTAGTGAAATACGAGTGGGAACTGATATTAACGGCGAAACTGTGCTGGATTTCAAGCCAGCACTCGCAGCAGAACCAATTAAAGTAATTTTTATGGTAGATTTTAAAACTTGAAGAATTTCGGATTTTACATCTAAAACATTTGCCACTCTATTTTCGAGTGCTGCTTAGCACTAAAAAATTGATCATTTTATAGAATTAGCCAAGTTCATGTGCAGTTGAAATACACTTTCAGAAATATATCATTAAGTACTGGCCAGAAAATGATTCATCAGCTGTAATGTATATGGAAACACCAATGAATGTTACCGATAAGATCATTTTGGATGGCTTGCAACCTGATACAGACTATACTTTCATAGTAAACTTGCTTTTTAATACTTAAGCTCACTTCCAATTTTAATCAGTGAAAAACTAGATATGTTTAATGCTTAATGCATCCCAAATTTAAGGTTGTGGCGAAATTTGATGATACTGATAATCTTCAGAGCGAACCTTCTAAAGTACGTACACCCTCTGGAGGTCTGTTATTTTCCGTCTAAAGTAATGTTCCCAATGATGAATTTGTTAATAAAAAGGTAGTATTCATGTTTAATAGCAATTTCTGAGAGAAACAGCATAAAAAATTACAGCAAAGATTTTACGAATTTCAGATATTGAATGCCACTGTGCACATGCTTGCATGTTCGAAGAAGATGAAGAAGGTGTTATCAGCTCATCATGCTATTGCCACAGTGGCTTTAAACTTTCTAGTGATAAAAGATCATGCGAACCTTTGGAAGAAGATGAAGAAGATGGTATTGTTCTGGTGAGTGCATAGGACAAGATAATTATTCATCATCTGCTATTTAAATCCAATTTTTTAATGGTTATAACTCTATTTTATCATAGTTTTTTGCTCTGTGATAAATTCTAAGCATTTATTTTGCAAAGAATGAAAGAACGATAAATATGAAAATAAAAATTATATTATTCCGTCCTTTGTGTTCTTGTAATGCTTCGAATTTTCAAGTAGCAAAAATCAAAAAACATACTGAATATTTTATTTAGGTAACACCACCTACATTCTTCCCTGATTCGGAGCATCCAAAAGAGCTATCCACGAATCCATCTATTTTCGATAGCTTGGTACCAGTTTCTGAGAAAATCGATTCAGAAAAATCCAACCTTACAAAATTAGGAGAGCAAGAAGATGAAAGATTGAAAACAGATTCTAAAGCAACTAACGAATATGTACCAACAATTATATCAGAGCAAGGCCTTCTGGTAACTGATAAGAGTACGCAACCAACAGTTACTGATCATGTTGAACAAATTGTGAGCAAAGATACGTTAGATCATACTTTGATACCTGTTGTTAATTTTGATAGTATTCCTTTTTCAACCAATGAATATGGACAGAAAGTCGATAACCTTGGAAATCCTATTACTTGGGATGAAGATGATCTGCCGATAGGGCCGAACGGTACACTTCCACATCTCAATTTTGGAGGTGAATATGTTTATCCTGTCACTGACATAAATAAAAAACCACTACCAACAGATATAAATATGAAACCGATCTATCCAATCGTAGGACCAGACAATCACCCAATCCCCAAAAATCAGGAAGGTTTGTACATCGATCCAAATGGCCAAGTGATTCCAACAGATGATGAAGGACGTCCTATAAGTGTTGATGGGTCACCTTATCCAACCGATGAAGAAGGTCGTTTTATTGTTATATCCTCTAGTGATGTCACTAAAAAAACTCTAGCAACAGATGAGTTAGGACGTAACATTTATCCAGTTTATTATCCAGACGGAATGATACTCCCAACAGCAGAAAATGGTCAGTACACCGATGAACGTGGGCAAATTATTCCAACCAATGAGATTGGGCTACCTATTAATGAGCATAGTGAAGTTCTACCTACAGATTCTGAAGGAAACTTTGTTTATGTAGGAGAATATGTTGTGCCTACTGATTCTAATGGGCAGCTTGTTAAAGTAAAATACGACGGAAAACTTCTTAAAAGCAACAAATTTGGGAACATCATTGGCCCTAATGGAGAAGTACTTTCAATAAACGAACAAGGACATCCAATTGACGGCTCTAACAACGTTTTCCCAACTGCTTCTGATGGAACTTTTATACTACTGACAGATAGAAAGGAAAGTGAATTAATTTTGAACAAAACAAAGCAAGAACAAACCTTTAATATCCTGGGACCAGATAAAGATTTACTACCAACCGCAGATGATGTGTCGGCACTGGATCCTTTTGTGCACTCCCATTGGAAACCGTCTCCAGCTGACAATAATGAACAACTTATTCATCCAGAAAGCAGCTTGAATCAACAATTACTGTCTACCAACCAATCAGGTGAGTCTGTTTATGCTATAGGTATTCCTTCATTTCTATTCATGCACTTGTAGTGTAGGACTGCTACCCTCTTCAAACGAGAACGAACAGGCCATGGATTTTTTAAAATATCTAGTTTTCTGTCAAAGATTGTAGAGTAGTTTTAACGAGTAGCGAGGCAATTTTCTACAGATAAAAGTCTAACCATTATTTTTTTAGGAACTCAACTCCAAAAGAAATTGAGCAGGACGAATTATTCTGAGATCGGACTGGATGACAAACTATTGCAAAAAAGTCCCAGTACTATTTCTATTGATCCGCATGGAATACCGATTCCAACAGACTTTAGTAGAGACTCTACAGATAGTGTTGGCAGACCGTTATCTCAAAATCGTGGTGAAAAAATAATTTATCCAATAAGTGGTACTTATGATAAACCAATGCCGACAGATGAAAGTGGAAAATCTGTATACTTCATTATAGGACCTGATGGAGAACTATTTAAAAAAGATCACACCGGTGCAGTAATTGATACTAGTGGTCGACCTATTCCCACAAATTTTGCTGGTATTCCGGTTGATAAATACGGAAAACCATTACCTGTCGACAAAAACGGTTTCATCATTTATCATACGGAAGAATATACAACTCAGGCATCTGGAACAGATAAAGCTGATGTTCCTATTTATGTAATCGTAGGACCTGACGGAACAGTACTTGAAAAGAATGTTGATGGTGTTTTCATTGATCCTCATGGGAGACCGATTCCAACAGACTCCAGTGGATATCCTACAGATAGTCTTGGTAGACCGTTACCTCGAGATCGTAGTGGGAAAATAATTTATCCAGCTAATGATGTAGATGGTGAACCAATGTCGATAGATGAAAGTGGTAAGCCTGTGTACACTGTTGTAGGACCAGATGGTTTGTTGCTTCCAACAAACGAATTTGGCTTGATTATTGGCTTTGACGGTAATCCTTTGCCTACAAATGATTTTGGTAAACCTGTTGGGCCTGATGGATCACCCTTGCCCACTAATGAATTAGGTCATATCGTACATTTTCCTCCAGAAGAACCGCCTACAGTTCTTTCAACAAACGAATATGGCCAAATTGTGTATCCTATTGTGGACACAGACGGTAAACTGCTGGACAAAGACGATAGTGGATTTCATATAACGAAGTACGGAATTCCAGTGGAGCTTAATGAAAATCATTTTCCTGTAGGTCCTGACGGAAACATTCTTGCGACTGATTCTAATGGAAATTATATTTTTCCAGATGTCGAGGGAATGGTGTTTCCAGCAGAAAAAACTGATGGAACAGTATATTCTGTCACAAGTTTCGATAGAAAGCTTCATTCTACTGATTCAAGTGGTGCCGCTGTTGAAGAGAGTGATAATTTAATTCCAACAAACGAATTTAATAATTCTGTAGAAATGGATGGCAAAGTTTTACCCACAGGAAAACACAAGTATTTGGAAATAAATACAACAGCGTCTCCAGTTACAGTTTTTGGTCTCGATTCCAAGGAGCGGAAAGTTATTAATGTAATGGACAGTGAAGGTCGATTATTATCAACGGATGATTTGGGTCGATTTCAAATAGCACCTGGCAAATTTTTAAAAAGTGATGACAGTGGTAGACCAATTGGACCAGATGATCAATTACTTCCAACAGACAGTTCAGGCAACTATGTGTACCTACCAAAAGAAAAACATCCAATCGATGATGATTTGGAACATAAATTAGAGATAGATCAAACGAGCCCAGCGAGTGAATCAACTAGTATTTCTATTGATCAAAGCAGCAAAATTTCAGCTACTGATCTCAGTACTGTCGAATCTAGAGGAAGTGCTTTGTATGACCATGCTCATAACTGTTCCACAAAGAATGGTGTGATGGATATTGTAGTGGTGATTAATATGGAGAGCTTGGACCAAATAAGTTTTGAGCAGATCAAAAATGTTATGAAAAATTTAGTCGATAAATATTTTGATCTTGCACCAGATATGTCTCGTTTTGCTGTGATAAAGTATAGTGGAAGCGCTGAGGTTCCAATTACGTTAGGTGGTTACAACGAAAAAATTGAACTTCTGGAAGATTTAAATCAAATTAAGTATGAGCACGTCAAGGAGCATTCCAGGATTAGTGTAGGAATCAATGCTGCAGCGCAGCAGTTTGTTTCGTTCGGAAGAGAAAAAGCCGGCAAACTAATATTATTGGTAACAGATGGACAAGACATGTAAGTAAAAACTTTTTTGAATACTACTATTACTACTGGTTTTTGAAATTCAATGATATAACAGTATTTTTGTGAGCTACGAAAAAAACAAAAACAAAAATGCATTAAATTATTTAGCTGAAGGGATAAAATAAGTTAATTGGTAAACCTATTTATTTTAGATATCCAGAGGACCACTTTGACGATGTGATTCCGATGCTTATTGTCGGAAAAACTAAATTTGAAGAGGAAATTAGAGACCATACAAAGTCATACATCTTAATAGAAGCTTGGCCACAACTACGAGATGATACAATCGTTAAGACGATCAGGGAGGAATGTCTAAGAGGAAGAATTCCTATTCCAACTTTTGATAAATCGAAATCTGAAGAATTTGAGATTTCAAACAGTTCGCCACTACCTACAGATGAATTTGGTCAAATAGTAATTTTTCCCACTGATGAACCAGCTGTAATGGCTACTGATGAATACGGTCATGTAGTATTTCCCATTCGAGATATCACTGGAAGAACTTTGCCTAAGAATGAAGCTGGCTCAGTAGTAAACAGACTTGGCCAATTAATTGAATTTGATGATTTCGGAAAACCAGTAGGCCCAGATGGAAGACCCTTGATGTCTGATGAATCTGGAACATATATTTATCCTGCAATTGATAACAGTGGCAAACCAGTACCCACTGATATGAACAAACGCCCCATTTATAAAGCTGTAGATGAAAATGGAAACCCACTAGAAACCGATGAAAATGGTGTAGCAGTGGATATAAACAGACAACCTATACCAACAGATTTGTTTGGAAGGTATGTAGATTCGAAAGGATTACCATACTCGTTTGACAGTGATGAAAACATTGTAATTCCAAAACTGTTTACAAAAGTTGGTGATACAGATAATTATACCATCAGTTCGGATATGTTGTTACCAACCAATACCTCAAACACTTATTTAAATTATTCAGAAATGGATAGAAATCAAAAATTGTTACCAACCAAAGAATATGGAAAATCATTGATATCTCATCATTCACTCACTGCTACTGATACTGCTGAAAAATATACTACAGACACTCAGTCTTCAGATAAATATAGCCAAATTTTTCAAAATCCAGACGTTGAGCCATTGACGACGGATGAGAGCGGAAACTATATTGACCGTCAAGGTCGACCACTGCAAGTCGAAGTTGATCATGTTGGTAGACCAATTGGTGCTATACAAAAGCTGGATCATGTGCCAGAAGGAACAAAGCTAATTGTCGTCGATCTGTACGGAAGACCGTTGCCAACAGACGAATATGGTAATACAGTGTTTGCTGATGGTAGCACAGTACCTACTGATGCTTCCGGACACCCAATCGGACTAGATGGTTCTGTAATGCCTCTTGACGATCGCGGACGTTACATATCTGATTATATACCAGATACGGCTGATTTACGTGAATTAGAACATCTAACAAAAGCACAGACATGTGATAAAGTTGACAAACCTGCTAACATTATTTTTGTCATAGAATCATCAGATGCTATACGAACAAAACTTACGGAAATAAAACATTTATTGATAAATTTTATCAAAAAAAATATAAATTGGGCCATTGTGAAAATTGGCTTGGTTTCTTACGGAAGCACAGTGGATGTTAATTTGGATATTGGGAATTATGAGAACTATGAAGAGTTAGAACAATCTATTATCAGTTTACCATTCATCGGTGGCTCTGGATCTGGAGATGAACATGCGATGAGGACTTCGCTTCAGTTATTCCGTGAAAAATACAGCAGCAATAATGCAGAACTGATAGTGCACATTTATAAAACGTCCATCAGGTTTTATTTTTGAAAGGCCTATTACTATTGAAATGATATAATTTTTTAAAATGCTGGGAGCTAGATTTGATTTTCGAATATTTCAAGTCGTAATTATTATCTTCTCTTTATTTGACCTCATGTATGATAACCATGAAGTAATATCTAATATTTCGAGAAAAAGACCATTGCTAGCATGGTCTTTAACACTTGGCTTGATATACAGAATATTGCTTTTTACAACAGATCTCGAGATATATTAGTATAGAATTATTTTAGCAAAGATGCCCAAGTTATGGCTAATCACTTGCGAGCAAACGAAACTATAATGATTCTGTCACTTGGAGCTGAGCAGTGGTACCGATTGAAGGACGAAGAAGAGATGAGAAAATTAAGGAGTGATATGTGTCTGATGTTGATGAAAAGTCAAACTGCACAAACGAGAAAATCCCCTGGTGAGTTTATTTCAAAGTTCATGTCAAATATTGTCCGTCGAAACGTATATACCATAATTCATAATATAATTGGACTCTCACGAAAGATGAGCAAAACAAATTATATTATATTATTGGATTAGTACAAAAGTGTACTTAGTGACTTCTATAATCCTGCTGCTGCCAGCCGTTCAAATCCATGGAAACACGCAAGTAGGTAATAGTTTGAGACCTGAACCCGTCGTACCTGTTGCCTTAATGGTGATGCACTAAGTCATGAAATATTTTTCATAAAACAAGCAGAATATGAATTCAGTTCCAATATCACTTTTACGAGGCGTTAATGTCCAATATACGTATTCACTATAAAGTATTTGAATTGAGACACTCAGACACCCCAATCTATTGCATAGGTAGTTTACTCACCAAAAACTTTTACACTTCTAGTCCTATCACTTTTCTAGTTACAGCAAAAATAAATTCAATGATTGTCGTTGATTCTTATGTTTCAGAGCAAGATTTCCCTAGCAAATCACCAACAAAACAAGAAATAAAGCAACCTATACATTCGAAAAAAGAAACAGATGGGAGGCACGTATCGAAAGACGAAGGAATAGTTAACACTTACGAATCGCCACCGCCAACTCACGACCAGAGTTGGTATCTGTTGGCTGAAAAAGAAATTGAAAAGGCATTAATCACCGATGGAAAACCTATCGCTACTGACATCTACAAACGACCGATATATCCAGTGGTAGATGCAAAGGGTAGAGCATTACCAACTGATGAATCCGGCTTCACTCTAGATCAATACGGAAAGCCGATACCAACTGATGAATCCGGAGTGCCTCTCAATGCTCATGGCCAGCCTCTTGCCAAAGATGAATATGGTCGTTACAAACTTGACACATCTGATCTGCCTGCACCTTTCTTGACCACAGACGAATGCGGTAAAGTGATATACCCTGTGTTTGGTCCTGAAGGCAGATTGCTTTCAACTGATGAAACGGGCAGGCTCGTGGATCATAAAGAAA